CAAGGGTTTCATCTGCAGAAACCCTAATACCATACTACCCTCCGCAAGCTGAAGATTCACCGAGATTCTGCTCAATACAAAAAGGCTGGGTAAGTCTGCTCTTCCCTTCACTGACCCCAGTTAAATTAGCTCAACATTTTTCTCTCGATCTATGGTATCTTGTAGCTCTGATTCTTTATCTTTGGTGGTATTATATACATAATTGCTGTGTGTTGTTTTCATTGTGAATGGAAGCAGGATGCAATGCAAAATCCGTGCTTTTTAGATTTTGAGCTTAGAAAATTTTATGGGATTTTGTTCTCTGACTATTGGGTATGGTATAATGGAAGATGGGAATGAAATGGTTTTCCCAAATATTGATGCTGGTTATACAGTGCTAAACTCTCTCATTTTTAGAAGAAACCGAATCTGTGTTCTTTCTCAGTTTTAATTTTTCTTATTCATTTCACGTCTTTCAGTTTCCTATGGTTTCTTAATTTCTCCAAGAAAAGGAGAAGCTTCCTCATGTTGATTTGCCTCAGATTATTATGAAGGTTGCTTGTTCAATTCCAAGTTTTGGATTGAAAAGCAACCGGGATTGATTTTGTTTAGAAAAATGGTTGCACTGGAAACATTTTAATAATCTCTCTTTTCGTTTTTAAATGCACATGCTCTAGCGGAGCTGGCTAATGGATGTAGATATTATCTGTTTCTGGTTGTTTGACTATGATTTGACTTTTGAGTGTCTTGTTTAATATATTTATGCATGTTTTAGTGCTGACATGATTTGGGTCTGAATTTGATTGCTTCTGGTTTTTTAAACTTGCTTAGAGATGGGTGAGGAAGTTAAGGCTATAGTTCCTGAGTCAGTGTTGAAGAAGAGGAAGAGGAACGAAGAATGGGAACTGGAAAAGAAACAGAAACTTGAAGCTGTGAAGAAGAATAATGCTGAGAAGCGGAAGTTGATTTTCAAGAGGGCTGAGCAATATGCAAAAGAGTACAGCGAGAAGGTAAATATTGTGTTACCTTTCCTCTGAATTTTGTAACATTTTCGAACATGCGGAATTCTGAATATTTAAGTGTTCTCTTTTCTTTAGGAGAAGGAACTCATTCAATTGAAGCGTGAGGCAAAGTTGAAAGGAGGTTTCTATGTTGACCCTGAAGCCAAGCTTTTGTTTATTATTCGGATTCGTGGGTGCGTGTAACTTAAAACTCTATTTTAGAAAAGTCTAGAAAATAATATCCCAATTCTTATGTTCGGTCAATTTCGTTTTTCAGAATCAATGCCATGCACCCAAAGACAAGAAAGATTTTGCAGCTTCTGCGTCTGAGACAGGTATACTGTTAAATCTTCACCTAAAGTAATCTACAAATTTGAGTTCTGATTCCCCTCTGTAATAAACCATTTTATGGTTTAAGCTTTTCCCTATGAGAGTCAAGGTAGGCTGATATAGTTTGTTCAAAAGAATCTTGCTACTGGGCTTGTTAAGTATTAACTGCTGAGTACTGTGACTTCCAACCAAAATATTGGCCTGTCTTACATCTTCTAGGTTTGGAGTATTGGAACTACCATACTACTTGCTTAAATTTGTGTTTGCTTAAACCTGTGTTTGCTTAAACCTATGTTTGAACATGATTGTTTATATAATATCAGCTGGTTTTCCTTAAATTTCTGTTTACTTAACCTATGTCTCATTTTGTACCTGTTGGTGGGTCTTTCTTTCCAAGCAATGTGGTCCTTGCGCATGATCATTTAGCAATGGTGTAAACGGTTGGTGGTCATCACTGTTCACAAAATTTAGTATTTGTTACTGAATCTCTCTGATCTACAGATCTTTAATGGTGTTTTCCTTAAAGTCAACAAGGCAACAATGAACATGCTTCACAGGGTTGAACCTTATGTGACATACGGGTATTCTTTCTAATTCCACCTTCCCACCCAGTCCAAAAGTAAAAAGTTCTCATTTTGATATCTTTTGATCTTTTAAACATCCTAATGTTTTAAGTTGTGTGTTTTCAGCTATCCCAACCTGAAGAGTGTGAGAGAGTTGATTTACAAGAGGGGTTATGGGAAGTTGAACAGGCAGAGGGTTGCTTTGACTGACAACTCAATTATTGAACAGGTTTATGTCCTTTCACATTATTGCCCTCCATCTAGGTCGCACATTTCTGCCTTGGATTCTTGCTCATTTTTATTTCATTGCAGGCTCTGGGAAAGTATGGCATCATCTGCATAGAAGATCTTATCCATGAGATTATGACCGTGGGGCCTCATTTCAAGGAGGCAAATAACTTCCTATGGCCATTTAAGCTGAAGGCACCACTCAGTGGTCTTAAGAAGAAGAGGAACCATTATGTTGAGGGAGGTGATGCTGGAAATCGTGAGAATTACATCAATGAGCTTATCAGGAGAATGAACTAGGGCTCAATAGTTTTGTCAATTTAGTGGTCTGGGAAAATCTTTGTTAGCAGGAACCTTTTTTCATTTATTTTGGAAGTTAGATTCAATTTTCGAGAGAGCTTTGATAGTGACATGTTTTTGCATACTCTATTTTACTTGAATATGATGCAACCTCAATCCCACAACTTAAGTTTCCACTATTGTGATTTTAATAAGCAAAATTTGCAGCTCGGCTTCCCTCGAATATTATTAGAATTTATGGTTGATTGTTACCCGTATATTAGTTGTAAAAATTAACAGTAAAGATTATGGGAGTTGGATTCAGGAGACAATAGGATAAAAGAAGGCAAAACCATAAGTTAAGCCTCTGAACTAACCCAGAATCACTATTAAGCCCCTAGGCTTTAATTGATGCAGTTAAGCCCTTGAACTCTGGAATCAAAGCAATTATGCCATTCTTCTTAAGCAATTTATTTTAAAAATTAAAGTCTAGAGGCTTAATAGTGTAAGAAGAAGGGCTTAATTGCTTTGATCCCAGAGTTCAAGGGTTTAACTGCATCAATTAAAGTCTAGGGGCTTAATAGCTATTCTGGGGATTAGTTCAGGACCTTAACTTATGGTTTTGCCATAAAAGAAAGCCTTCATGTGTGTTTGTGCAAGAGTACCGAATCTTGCTAAAAGGGGTATTGGTTTCTATGGAGAAAACTACAATCCAAGCCATTCTCTAATCGAAGGTACAAAAGAAGAAATAGAAAAACAAGTCCTTCCAAAAACTTAGTGGCCTTTTTTCTCTCAAACCCCCCAGTTTCTAGTGTAGGGTTTTAAGATGAGAAAACCAGATGTATTAAAGCAGCATGTCTTCAGCTGTCCTCACTAGAATTTAGCCTCCTCACAATACGCCCCTGCAACATTACCTATCAATGATCAGGATAGCTTTGTAGCACAGGACTTGTATTATAAATTCATATTGAAGCTGTAGAAGAGATAATTTCTAATATACATTTTAAATTCAATCTTTAATATCCTTTAATCTGTACTTAAGCTAGAAAATCTAGTCTTATTTACGAAAACATGACCAATTAGTCCTAGTTTCCATCACCCATTCACTACTTAAAATTCCAAGGAGAAAATCAACAGATTTAATTGTATAGAGGGCTTAAATGAATAGGTCCAGAAATAATGAGACGGAAGTAATAAAAAAAACCAAAAACGAACAGTTGGGGTGATGTTGGTTTACCTTCATTCTATTTCTGGGCCGTCGATCAGCATTGGCTTTCCTGACCTGACACCTGATGATCTTCTTAGAGAAGAGCTGCGTACGCAATTTTGCCTTGTACCGCAACTCGCTAGCCTCTCTCACCCCTCCACCACCCTCCCAGAATAAATCCATTTGTGCCAGCCTCACCTGCCCCAAAATCGAACATTTTTCTTAAAATGGTAATGCCAACAACAAACTCTTAACATTTCTTTTCGAGCATTCTCTCGTTATTGAAACCCCATGATATAAAATATTTACGTAATTAGTGCTGGGCCTCACAAATCACATAATATAAGAGTTTTGAATAAGGATATTGTTCGGAATGTGAGAACCGTGCTGATATTGGGAGTATATCTCCATATTTTTTGTTGATCACCTATGATATCTTTATATTAATGATTATAAAATGTAAAAGTTATAATTACAATCAACTACAAAACAACTAATTTATAAAAGAAGATAAAAAATACTTAAGGTCCCTTGAAGGACTAAACCCTTAAATTTACTTTTAAATAAAATTATTTAGATAGATTTATGTTTTAAACAGAAATAAAGATAACTATTTTTACAAAAAAAAAATTATTGATTAAAATAAATACTTTATTATTTAATATATAAAGGTATTACATATCAAAAACATGTTTGTCATTTAAATTTATTTTTAATAAAAAATTAATGTGTAATAATGTCACATATTAAATAATTAATAATTATAATTATGTTTCATATTAAATAATAAATAAATTACCTTAATCAATAACTTTTTTTAAAAAATTTATCCCTATTTATTTTTTAAAATCATATCTACTCCTACCCTCTTATTTTGGGTGGATTTGGGGGTTGATAAATAAAAACGAATATATTAAGAAAATTAGAAAATTAAAAGTGCATCTTTTTCCCGCCTGGAGAATGAAGAGAAACATACAGAGGCATGGCTTCCGGGTGAATCAGCGTCGTCGGCGAAAGGGCAGCTGCGATCCGACCAAGCGTTCAACACTTCGTCATAGTTTAATTTCAACTGCAATCCGGTGTTTTGCTGTGGATTCGGGTTTTCTTTGGGCTCGTCCGGATCTTTTATTTCCTCCTCCTCCTCCTTCTTCTTCTCTTTCTTGACCTTGTTGGTGGTAATCCTGGGCGAAATTTGACGCATGTCGACGGTGGGAAAGTTCCACCAATTCCCCTCATCGGAATGTCTCCAAGCTCTCGCTCCCGTGGTCGGGAATTCGAATTTCCCGCCAAATCCCAATCCCATCGAATTTCCATACATGTTGCCACCATTGTCTGCATCCACTTGTTCGTTGTCAACGCTGAGATTCCCCATGATGCTATCGATACCTTCCCCAATTCTCTCATCCAGAATCGATTCCGCATCGAATTCTTCGTTCAATTCAGAGCAGAGATGCACCGAGCTTACACCGGAATCGATTTCTTGACAGCAAAAATCCACCACCTTGTAGGGTAAAATCAGGCTATTGGTTTTTTCTTCGATTGGCTGGTAATGGTGGGGCAAGAAACCAGAGTAGTGGCCTTGGTCGATGACGCGGAAAGGCAACAACAATTCCGACGATTGATCGAAGAAATTACCGTGAGGGCTGGTGAATTTATGAGGTTTTATGAGGGTTTTGGGAGGAAACACATTGGGGTAAGCGGTGGAAAGGAGGACGGCTGCTTCGTTGTAGGTCTGATTGGGGCGTTTTCGAGGGGTTCGAGGTTTCCGGGTGGAGATTGCGAGTGGGGAATTGCTGGATTCTGAAAGCGTTGAAGAAGGTGAAGATATGTGTGAAGTAGACGGTGATTTTACAATTTCCAGGTCCAGAGAATAGGTCCTGCCACTGCGGATTAAGAACGAAGACATTTCCGGGAACCGAAAGCAAAATTAGAAGAAAAAAAAAATTCTCAAATTTGAAACTCTGGCATCAAAAAAATTGAAATTTGAAAATAACCCATTTCAAAAACAGATCAAAACTATAAACCCACGAAAGAAAACTGAAATTTGGAAGATAAATCTGTTTTGCAGAATTTGAAGATTTTGGTGCCAAATTCAAAGAGAAGTTCAAAATTTCGAGGTTTTTGCATTGAGTATTAGCAGGTGTAAACTAAACAGAGACAGAAAGCACAAAACCCTAAACCCTGGAAGTACATGAATTAAAGAAAAAAAAGAAAGAGAGAGAGAGAAAGCCAAAAAGATTTAGAATGAAGCGTATATTCTACAAAAATAAAATTCTCAAAACTATCTATCAACAAGCAACAAATTTGCATCTAAAATTCCAAAAACCAACAAATCCCACCGCAACTAAAAGTAACCAAACAGCATATCTGCAGTGAATAAGCTCTTTTTAGGCACCAAAACAGAGTGAGGGGAGAACTCTATAAATGATTTTGAATTGTGGGTTTTGGGCAACGAGTAGCTAGGTCACGGGAACGAAGAAGATGAAGGAGTAATATCCATTGGGGAAATCAGTAGTCAGTAATATACGGCACAGAAGCTTGGGAGTGGGAGTTGCAGGGAAGAAACAGAGAACAGAGGAAGAGACAACTTAGAGGGCCCGTCTGCTTTTGCCTTCTCTGTTTTCACCCGTCCTTTTTTTTTACAGAGCACGTCATTATATGTCTATATATATATATTATTTTGATTACTCAATAAAAATTAATTAATTTTTATTTTTTTTATATAATTTTATAATAAATTAAAGACATGTTTCATTAGATTAAAAGAAAAAAAGTAAATTTGCTGCGCTTGAGGCACCATTAAGCGCAGCTAATAGTGCCTAGGCATGCTTAATTGATT